AAATGTCTAAGTATTTCAGGTACGCTTGCTCCCGTAGTCTTTTCACCTGCCACAAAATTCGATTAGCTGTTTTCCAAGGTCCCATCTTCCATGTCTGTGACTGAGTTTCTCTAAAGCAGTATCAAAATATATAATGAAGCTAATTTTTCCAATAACATTTTCTAACAATTGTATGCTTTTGTTAACAACATATTCTAGATTAAATTAGAGTGAAATCATTTTAGTTCAGCTCCCGGAAGTCACGGGTATGATGGTTTTGTCCTAAATGCTATACTTCAAACATTGTGTAGCTTCTTTATGTATTTCTAAAGATGAATAATGATGTCATAAATAACATTTACAGAAATGTCATGCCCTATATACATGTTCATTACATTCTATGCCTAGAGCTAATATGTACTATTGTTCTGTACATTATACAGCTTTATATGCCATGAACGTTAGTTTACATTTCTAAATAAATAGTAATTAATATAATTATTAATTAGCTTTTATAAAATTTCCTTGTTCTATACCACTTTATAGGAGGTCTGATGGTATAGTGGTTGCGAGTTGGACCGTGAGCTGCAAGATCAGCAGTTCGAAACCACCAGCATCTCCTTGGGAGAAAGACAGGACTTTCTTCTACCTTAAAAGGTGTAGTCTCAGAAATCCACAGGGGCATAAGTCCACATCCACTCTATGGAAGTGAGGTTTTGAGTGCCACTTTATAGAAAATATTCATCTTCTTTCTTAAACTCACAAAATAAATGCACTAAATTTGAATCACCTTGCTGAAAATTAGGGAAACTTTCTTTGAGAAATGTAAAATAAATTTAGAATTTGCTGTAATTATTTTAGGAGCCCTGGATGCACAGTGGTCACACATTGGGCTGCGATCCGCATAGTCGGCAAATTAGAAACCACCAGCAGCTCCGCGATAGAAAGACTGGGATTTCTACTCCACCTCACAGCTGCTCTCTCAGAATCCCACCGAGGGTAGCGATGGGACAGCATGGACTGGAGGGCAGTGAGTTTGTTTTGGAGGTTTATATGGTGATTATTTCAATTATATG